TATACCAGCTCAAATATCCAAAACAATAATTCAAAAATACCCTTGTAGTAAAGTAGTAGAACGGACTAAAAAAAAAAAAAATGGTACTATTTCATTAGAACAATGCGATGAAAATTTAAAAACGAGACAATCTCGAATGTTATGGAACGATCACTCAAATAGATATAATTTTATTTTGTATGAGTGTGTTTTAGCCGAATGGATGGTACAACTGTGTTTTAGCGTATCGTCGTCGATTAGAATCCACTTCCTTCTCGGGCTGAACCACGGCCAGGAAAAAATAAACCGCCACCACTCCTCGACCAACTATCAAAACTTACTAAGTTCCAATACAACTATTAACCTTATTATATCCCTACTACACTCCAATCACAAGGGACTAATAGCAACATTAAATAAAAAATTTTAAAAATATATTTTTTACTCTATCAATTATAAAATACACACACGCACACATAAACATACATACATATATGTAACAATATAATATTAATGTATATAATTTAATCAGTGGCATATATAGGTTTTCATTTTAGAGGGGGTCGATTATGTATTTGATTCTTGGGTGGAAGGGAAGAAGGAAGCACACTATTACGAAAAAAATTACTTTAACACTATAAGACTTTTCGACTGTCTTTACTCCATCAGAGATATAAGAAACTCAATTTTTTTAATGATTTATTATTTTTAAAAGTATAAAAACAACATTGTAATAAACAAATTTTTTATTAGTCACTCAAAATTCACCACATATTTTCTTAAAAGAATAAACATATTTTATAAATATAAAATTTTAAATTATTGCATAAGCAACATTCTCAGTGTGGAAACAAATTTTCGGAAACCCCCAGCATTAAGACATATCCATGATAAAAATAACAATCTTTAACAATGGTGTTTTTCATTTCGGAGGGGGCCCGGGCCCCCTTGCCACCCCCACCCATAAATATTCCCTTGAATTTAATTATTATAATATGGTACAGGGTACCATTATCTTATTGGTTTTTAAAACCATTATTATTTATCATTATAATATTATTAATGCGAATATCATTACAAAATTTTATATAGCGCTTATATAACATTTCCGTGTTTACACATTAATTACCAATATAATGTTATTTTCGAAATTTTTTTAATATTTATTGGTAAAACGATCACAGACCATGGTAACTATTAACCACAAGCAATTAAAACTTCTTTATATAAATTAACCAAACATTAATTTATTTTATTTTATTCACATACGTTTTCAAATATTTTAAATAATATACAGTATATATAGGTAAAAGTAAATAAGATCTAATTATAAATTATAAATGAATACAGTTTTAATAAAACTATAAATTAAATAATTATATTCATATGGAAATAAGTTAATTAATTTAATTTTTTCGGAAAATATTTCATTTCGTAATATAATTTTTTTAGAAAATAATAGACAATTATTTTTAATAAACACTTTAAAATCAGAAATATAGATAATTACTTTTTATATCACTGGGTACTATAAAAATGTATACTTAAGTATAAGTTAGAGAAACATCATGCAAGCTACAAATTACTGCATATCAATATTATTTATTTTCATTCTACATTATCTCTGGCCATCATAATTAGATTTAAATAATTTTCAAGGTGATACTAAAATCAGTAGTGAATATATAATATATTAAATTAATTTTTGGTAAGAAGTAAAATGTATACGAGGTACCCTCACCCATCGTTGGCCTATATTAAAATATAATATAGTGATAATAAAATATATTTTTATTTTTTGTAAGTGGTTTTTATAATTTTTATTATTGTTGTCTTAAAGTCGTCTAATATTTTTTTTAAATTTTTTAATTTGTATAAGATATTGTAGACAATCGGGACGCCAAGGATTCTATATTATTATATCTTGTGGGTTTAAATAATCACGAACGTTGAGTGAATTTCTAGAAACCAACCAGTATATCCATGTTATAATGTGTTGTAACCTTGATTCCGACCATCTCTGCATTGACAGACTGATGTTTTCGTCATACTAATTTACTATTAAATTTTTGAACTATAATTAATAAGTTTTATGCTATAGAGCAGTGATCGACAACTTTCTTGGACCCTTGGGCCAGCCCCTTTTTTTTAATGAACCGCGACACAAAATGTGTAGTCCGAAACTGGAAGTGTGCACTACGTAATTCAAGATGTGTACACCTCCTAAATACTAATAAATAAGACTACTATAAAGGTGTTTTTCAAGAAGCCAATTTAAACAACAGCTGATGAGGACTTAAATATATCTATTTCATTTTAAATTATATACCATAGGTACATTAAAATAAATAATTTGTAAATAGTTTTCAGATTTATACCAGTCAAAAGCACTGCCACAACTACAAGTAGGAGGCCCGTGTGCGGTAATTATATTGGGCCCCTTCCTAGGATTTATTTTTGTTCAATTTAAGTATCAATTTTTTTAGGTTTTAAAACACGTTTCATATCAGTTAGTGTACGATATAATATATCATTTATTAATATTTATATATATATTTATTAATATTCATTGATATATATATATATCGAACTAAATACCTATAACTGTTGTATATTATACTTCACTACATATTTATGTAGTAAATTTATTTAAGTAGTTTAAGTAGGCATGTTGTTTGCCTATTCAAATACTCAATGGACTCATTGTTAAATAAATATTACATTATTCTGAAATGTTATAACAACCTTACCTGAATTTCAAATAATTTTCTTTTTTATTATTAAATAATTGTGTGTTTGTAAAGTGTAGTTTATTTCAGGCTGGTACTAGGGGGCCCCCAAATTTATGTAAGCATTGGGGCCTGTGTGCGCAGCACACTCTGCACACCCGGTTTTTGCGGCACTGGTCAAAAGTATATTTTCAGTTTAAAAATTATAACAAATTAATAGTTAGATACTTAATTAACTATTAGGTATACTTAATATTATTATTATTATTTATTATTATACTTTATACTTTTTATTTAGCCTACTTTATTTACCTACTTTATAATGTACAATTTGATAAATAAAAAATAACTATTACTAAAAATTATTACTGATATTGTACTACAAATTATAATCATATGGAAGGGGGTACAGAGGGCTCTGTCATTGTACAATAAAAAATTTGTAGTACAAATTTTTATAAAAAATAGGGGCTGCCTTGGGCCACATTCATAAATTAAAAATGGTTCACGGGCTAGACAATACAAATTATTAATATGATATTCAATGAAAATTCCTAGTTTTGGGATTTAATACGGGCCATATAAAAGACATGTGTGGGTGCACACGTTGGATGCGGCCCGCGAACCACCGGTTGCCGTCCACTGCTATAGAGTGTAGGACATAGGTTATATAATTAAGACATCCAGTAAGACATATTTTTATACCTACATAGTATATTACTATTTTTTATAATATACCTATTCACCTATATGGTTAGATATTTTGTAAATGGGGAACTACTCACTCATCAAAAATTGTAAAGGAGCAATTGCTCCAAAATAATACCTTCATCATGCCACTGACTAAAGTACTTAAATTTGGTTCCAAGGTTAGGTTCGATACACGTATGACAAGAGGATAGTGTCGGTTTACTTATTCTGGGCGGTCGTCCTGCCTGGAAAACGATAACCAAATTCGTATTTCAAACCGGCAACTTTGCTTTGACACAGTGCTTTATCCCATTCAGCTACGACGACCCTTTCTTATCATCTTAATACAATTAAATAACATGTACACTCAAATAATAACAATTCAAATAATTGAATAATTTCTTGAGTATTAAAATATATCTACACTTAAAAGCTCTACTTATATTAAGGACACTTTTCAGCTATTGACTTTAAATGTACAAAGTGGTTAATTTTAATTTAAATTAAGCTATTTATTTTGGATCAATTTCACAAAGTAAACATGATGAACACAACAATTCATGATTATTCATAATATACTGATATATAAAAGGTACTCAAGTATATTTTTATACACATAATAATGTGTATATATGTATATATGTGTATGTATACACTATATAATTAAAAATTATTTAAGCTATAAAAAATTAAGGGTTATCAAATTAATTGAATGTGTTTATTGTATAAAGTTCATACAATATTTTTTCTAAATTTATCAAAAACGTCGAATCTTGGTACTATGGTTTTAATTATCAAGCACGTTGTAAGTTTTATATATAAAAAAAATCAATAAATCATAATTAAATAAAGGTTTTAAATCGAAGATGGTTAATGAATAATTTTAGATTATAATAAATTTATAAAACAGTCGAATGAACCGTTTAAACAATGATAAAATACTAATATATGATCGTACTTGTAAAAAAACATTCTATCATTTATATAAAAAAGAAAATGAAAATAATGTCCACTAATAATAAATAACATAATATATCATTTTATTGGGATCTCTTAATTGACGTGTAATAAGGAGTAATAACTCCAGATAGATATTTTAATATTTTATTATACGGCTTCAGTTTATTGTTTTTTCACGTATACATTAGCCCAGTATATTATTCAAATTGACTACATATCAAGTTCATAATACTACTAATACGAGTGATCATTAATATTTATAAATTATCAATCGCACTGAAAATATTTATGTAGGACAATGTCCAGGATTGTACACGAGTTTTAAACACATGTTCCTACGTTATTTAACATTATACTTTAAGTACACTAGCGTAACATTGCTCTACAATTACAATGATTTAACGATTTGAGCACGTATACCTATATATTATATAAATCAGCAATAATTACCAGTAAAATAATGTTAGACTAATGGCTAGTAATATTCCATTGCATCCACTACACGGATATAAAATCAATAGAAACAAGTTATTCGCCAAACGCTGCAGTGCCTGATAATACGATAATGGCACTCGTGTTATGCAATAATATTTCGTATAAATATTGAATTGATGATCGCATTATGTCATTGCTTACACTTACCAGTAAAAAGCCACTTTGTCACCCATTCCGTTGCGCACGTTCTTGTCCAGCAGGTTGTAGCACACGTTTGTGGTAGCACCTTCCATCCATTTGACTTTCACGGGCCCGCGAGTCACGTCAAAATTGTACGAGCAAAAGTTGTCGACATCGTACGGCGTTTCCCAATGAAACTGAACAGCGATTTCCGACCAAAATTGTGCGGGTAATTCAATCGATTTCTTGTGCATTTCTCGATATTGTTCCATGGACCGAACGTAAGCCCCCTCGGCCGTCTTATAATACGGCAGGTATGCGTTTTTTGACATTTTGTCGTTTGCGGATTTATCGAATTTTGGTATTTACAATGTTCTCACTCAAATCGTTCAAATGATAACGAAAAACAAAATAAAAATCAAGAACAGTAATCGAGACACTAAAGGAAGAAATAAAAAATTATGTTAACGATCGATATGAACTACGACTACAAGAAATCAATTACCCTGTGGAAACACTTCTCTGCAGAAAGGCGCTACGCCACTGACTAGTGACTACTGACTGTAGCAACTGCACGCACGGCCACACGGGATGGAAAACATGTCAATATTTCGCTTACCACCGCCGCGGCCGCCACCTCTGACGGCAGCAGCAGCAGAAGCAGCAGTGAACCAACATTGCCAATAATACGCGGCAGACAGTAGTCATTATTTTCAGAGATTTTATTTTATTTGTGTTACACAAATAATATATTATTGGATATTAATACTTATCGATTATTATTTAAACCTTTTTTTTTGTGCTCTATACAATAATTTTAAGAAGTATCCAGTGTTTTAAGTATAAAATTATAAAATTACACTTATGAAGTACAAATATTTATTGAATCTCGTAACTCACATTCTATATCTACATAAGTACCCAGTTTTAAGTATTTTTCTAACTATTAACTTTAAGTTATTTATTAGCGTTATCACATTTATTAATTCATCAATTATCAAAAATCGTCGAATTCATTGTTCTAGGAGTACCTACAAATTGTAGGCTACAATGAATTATTTTCAATGTTTTTTATTATATTTCATTAATATTATTTAAAATATGTGGTAGATATTAATATATAACATGTAATCATTTTTGATCTTTATATTTAAAAAAAAAATAGAAATATTTTCTAATAAAATTAAACTAACCGGCATGCCTACGTTGTTTAAATTTAACTATTTCTAACATTTGATTTGACATTTTATTTAAGATTTTTAATCAGATTAGGATAATTAGATATTATACTTTGTAAAAATAAAATATTATTTAATAAATAATTATGAAACAAACTAATAAATTTATTGTAATTATACAACAATATATATGAACTGGAAAGAATAATGATTCATTACAAAAAATGATAATATTTCCGACCTTGTCGGAATATTGTCAATAATTACTTGATGATATCGATTATTTTATTTTAATATTTTAAATTTATCTTTATGTACCTACTAGAACGTAAATATTTATCGTTATTCGTCACTATAATAAATGTCTTAAATTTATACTAGTGTATACCAAGATATATTGTTGATTATTACTTGATCTTAAATGAGGACATAATATCTAGTTTTATAACTCTTAACATACTATAGTTATACTATACAGTACATATAGTATGTTTATGTTACACATGCATGTATACAAATATATACATGAATTGTTTAATAACAAATTAATTTGTTACGAAAATCATTCTATGACATGCGTGTCTCAAATATATATATATATTTGTACATTCAAACGTGATTGATAGAGCTTATTGTAACTTTGCAGGTTGTATTTTCATTTTTCGTGCGTTGTAATATTAATGAAGAATTTTAATGAATTTTCTACTTATGTGTCTGTAATTATGCCACGTGCATGGTATCAATGGCAAGCGGTATAAATAGGACATGCACGATATAGTTGTAAAATTTAACGTATTGACCAATACGTCAATATGTATCAATAGGTAATAAACCATAAAATCATAGGCAAATGCCTATCGCATATTATATGTGAGCTGATTAAAGTTTCAACATTTTCAGATGCAACCATTTCAAATGCAGTACAAGTTCATATTAGCCTATTTTAGTACCTACGAATCAATTTTTTGTAACCAACATACATATATGTTTTTACAGACACTAAATTAACTTAAATATTTCTATTGAAGATTCTTTGAACTCGCTAAATACAACAGCAAAAGTATAATTTACGACAATATCACTTACATTTATATACCTATACAAGTATAAAATAAAAGTATAGCAGTATACTACCGTTGTAAGCAAAAACACCGTAAGTCACTACAGAACGAATTTGAAAAAAACATGTTTTTGTATTTTGCATTTTCTTAATACCATAACACTTTATACATTATAATTATTTAAATATGATATATGTTCCCCTGTGTAATTTTACCAGATGAATACGATAAAACAAAAATAAATATGATTGAGTGAATTTTCAACTAGATATTTTATTTTTCACGTTACACCTTTGTATTGATAAAAGCTTTATAAATTAAAAAATATATATATATTATATTCATAATAGATAATTTATATAATATAAAATAAAACTAATAAAATATGGAATAAGTTAATTAGAAATAAATTGTTCAATTGTTGACTTGCTTTGCGATAAATAAACCGGTCCGTGTTACTAAGCCAAAATGCCGTCAATTATAATTTATACTATGTACTAAGATAAAATGCCGTTTCTTCAACAATATTTACGGCGTTAATACTTAGTACAATATTTTTGTGGCATTATTACCAAGTACTCACAATTTTTCTACAATTTACGACGTTTTAGTTATTTGATTATTGCTTATATTATACTTTTGAAGTAATATTTTAGATATATGATATATTCATATACACAAACCGAACTTTACAATTATTAATTTGTTTTTACCTCATTTTTAATTTTTTTGGAACTTACGGCGTTTTTACTTACGACGGCAGCGGCTATAATAGCCGTATTATATACTTATACTTTATTCTACATTATAATATTTAATTAAAATTAAAATATATCATCATTCCAATGTTTTTGGTATATGTTTTTAGTGTATCGTACGTATCTGCATTACTGTCTGTATTTTAATAGTTATAACACTATTCGCAGACTAGCAGACCGGAGTACTGGTACCAGAGATTCAAAGATAATGTGTTGGCAAAATGGATTGAGAAATAAAAATGGCAGGACACTTCTATAGAGGTATTAAATATAATACCTATAACTCTAACATTTAAGTCCTTGGCACAAATTGTCGAAATTTTTTGTTTTCCATTCCTCCAACCCAGAAATATATTCTAGAAGTTTGCGATGAGTATACTTCCTTCTTGTAATTATTTTATATGATTTTAATTATTAATACATTAAAATTAAACTCAAAATATATCATAATATTACACGGAATACCTAAAAATTAAAATAATATAAAATATGTAAAGTTTCTGAATAGTTCCATTATCGCAAATACGGTATTTTCAGCAATTACGAAGAAAATATATTTAGAAATGACCGAAAAACGGTTGTTCTCAAATACCAGTAACTAACCTCTACTGATAATTTCCCTTATACCAAAATCAGAAATACAGCTCTAACATACGTATAGTACAATATAGCTATTAATTAGGTAATATGAATGAAATATAATAATATTCATACTTATATATGCAGTAAAAGAAACCAAAAATATTAAATAGCATCAAACTTTTAACTTTTTTATCATTGATTTCCAATTTCTCTCTAGATAATAGATCTAAAAAAAAATTTTCAAGTTTAGAAAGTTTCTGTAAAATATGAGACCATAATACACCAGTGTTTCCCAACCAATGGGTCGCAAAATATTTTGTATTGATCGTGAATTGCATAAACAGTTCCATCAAACCGTCCAGTACTATGATTATTAATAATACTATATTATCACATTTTTTTTTTTTTTAGAGTTAGGGGTGGGTCGCGTAATCAACAAGCAATAAATTTAGGGTTGCCATTACAAAAAGGTTGGGAAACACTATGATACACGATAGGTACCTTAATTTCCGCTGTTTAAACAAGTTTTACTTCAATGTTATAATTACAAGGTTTACGTCGTAAACTTGTTCTTGTTTTAATCGTACCTAAATTCAACTTGATTTTTACATAGGTAGTTTAATTTTGAAAAAGTTCTTTTTCATAATTAAATGAGAAAATTATTGCGAATGTTAGTATTATACGTTTAAACTACACTATATATTAAATATATACTATACTTAAATAATAAAATAGTTTTCGTTGCCTTGCTTATAATGCGTACGTACATGACTGAATAAAATATTTTACAATCTCAATTATCAGATTATATTGACGATTGCCAAAATATTATTATATCCAATTTCAAATTACGAAATTTAGCATTACTCTGTTTTCATCCAAGTTTTTCTTTACATTGAAATCACTGAGTTTAGAGTATTATCAATCTACCTATATTCAATTTTTATGAGGTGAAGACACTATTAGAAACTTAAAGTAAAGATTTTACAACTCAAAAGATAATTTACCCAAAAAAATTATAGAACAAATAGGGCCGGCCCAAGCAAAAATAGTACACTAGGCAAAATCAAATGTTGCCGCTTCTAAAAAAAAAATTGAGCTCTTATTTTAACTTAGCACCTCCCCCTATTTTTAATGTGACATCTACATAGAAAAAATTTTAATTTTTATTTATGGATAAAATTATATGTAAAAAGACTTAAAAATGATTTCTATTATTATTATTCAAAACCCATCACTATCGCGACTATCGGATATCACGGAAGTGATTGTGTGGTTATTTATATTTTTTGAATTGTTGAAAACGCCCAGCGTAGGCCGTAATATAATGTAATATAATAACTTTAGACAATATTATTTTATTATATACGTAAATGGTTTTCACGAATGAATTCATTTAAATATTTTTCTTATAAAACATCAATAGAACTAAAAAAATGTTCGAGTCAATTTTGAAAATGCCGCTCCTACTAAAGTGCCGCTCTATGCAGGTACCTAACTTGCCTATACCTTGAGCCGGCCCTGAAAACAAGTATGATACAATATTTTTTAAAATGTACATTAACACTGGCTGCCGCTCACAAGGGTAACTTGATAAAATAAACAAAATATGTCTTTAATTATTCAGACAGTTTTATATTCTTTATCGATAAATATATCATAAATTAATAACTAAAGCCTGGTTTTATAAATCTAATCTAGTTCCGGGAACCAGTTTTATAGTTTTATTTTACCTAGATTGAAAAAAACTTCCTGGTGACAATAATCAAGGATTTCTCATATCCACTAAAAAACCACCATTTTTTTTTTTTTTTATTAAATAAAATAAAAACTTTTGAGTGAACATATATTTTGAGTGAAGTATTATAGGTTAGATATTTTCCAATGATCTCTGGTATTAAATTATGTTAAATTTTCATAACAAGTTGTCCTTCTCAATAAACATGATAGAATCTAGGGAATCAATATTACACCTAGTATCATTGATTATAAATATTACATAATACTTATTATTAATGCTAGTAGGTACCTAACTAATAGTAAATAGCTAAATTAGCTTAAAATGACAAAAATACCAACACAAATATGAAAACAGATTGTATTTTTTCATAGATACCGTAGAATGGGGCGATTTCGAAACTATAGGGTGACTTAGGACAAAAAGTTTTTATCCATAAAAATTGACAATATAGAAACATGATTTTAAATTTAGATCATATTAATTTAGTTGTAACTCCCCCCCCCTAAAATTTTCTCCGATGTCTAGGTTAAAATTTACAAATTTTTCAAGTTTAAAATATGAAAAGCTAGTATTGAATACCTAGTCTATTCATTTGAATAATCTATTCTATTATCAATGCTATTATTAAATCAAAATATATTAAGAATTTGCATAATTTTATTAATTGTAAAATGTGTTATATTTTTACCTTGACCCCCCTCTCACCAAAAAAAATCCTGTGTGCGCCACTGATTATATATTATATATGATTTTATATTATAAAATCAATGTTCATACCTACATTATCACACTTTCTTACGGAGGTTTATAATATGGTCTATTTTTGTGCTATTAATAACTCAACTAATAATTACTATTTTTTTTGTTTTTTTTTTTTGTAATACATTTGTTATCTTGTCGTGTATATAATCTTTATGTATTTGAATTTATTTTTTCAATAGTTAAGTGGTTTAATTAAAATTTAAATAAATAAATCATATTTTCGCGTGACTTCGAACATATATATATATATATATATATATATGTCCTTAACTAGACTTGCCATTCGTGGCGGTTTTAACGGCATGTCCCGGTGTCCCGGCCGATCATTCAGTTTCTGCCGGTTAATAGAAGTAGAGATATAATAACATTTAATTTTGTATTATTTAATAATTAAAAATAGAATAACATTATTATCTAATCGGCATTATTATATACAATAATAATGCATTTTTGTATTAGCTAATAAATATTTAAATTACAAAATTATATAATTATTCTTGTTTTCATAAGAACGACGTAACATCAAAAACGAAAAAGGACCATTCAATATGATGTCCTGGTTTACGGATTTCAAAATCTGGCAATCCTATTTTATCGAGAACCAGGAAACCCTTAATTTTACTGCTTCTACCAATAAAAACAAACAAAATAATAATGTTTCACCACAGAATAGTGATTCTGACAGAAGTGAATAGGTAGTTTTTTTGTTACAGGGAAATATTTTAATGGGGCTACCAAAATTAAAAAAAAATTTGCTTATAAAAAATGTATTATTCATACTAATTTAATTTAAATAATTTAACTATAAAAAAAAATAATAAATTTCCATGAAAAAATTAATGGTATCGAGGGGATTACCGACATTATATAGGGTGAGGGTCCACAAGAAAAATCACTTTTTCCCTATGGGCCTATCCACCCCTGGATCCTGATGATTCCAATATCTGTAATGAGAACTATGAAAAGAAGAAAAAATTATTGAAGACGATATTTTATCAGAACATACATTATTAAAGAAGGTTGAAGGGGCGTAATTTGGGGGGAGCAGACTATGACAAATGCACACTCCAAGAAATTTTAAAAAGTCAGCAATTCTTTGTTCGATAATCAAATACTAAAATCAGTAAATAGTAAATTTTTATTTACTATTTAGTACCTACTCAGAAATCAGACAATATTCTCTTTTAAATACACGTTCACGCTTTATTAAAAGTTGGAAATCACTGGCTCTTCACCGGTTTATGACAATCTTTTTTACGCGAACCTTTTAAACTTTATTTTTGGTATATTTTATATTTCCATATATGTGATCTTTATAAAACAGCTGTCGTGATATCGATACCATAAAAATTGAGCTCATAATCTATAGAAAACCGTTAAAATCGTTCCTATTCACCTCAAATTACAGTACATTATATTTGAGATAAAATGTTATGTTTTTATAAATAAGTTCTGTAAAGTATTAAATATACAAATAGTAAAATTATAAATATTTATTTAATTATATTTATATTATTATTTCATTAATCCTATTGATAGGTAACTTACAGCCTATAACAAATACATTGTTAGGAGTTTCCAAATATATGGAAATTTATTTCTATAAATTAGTATCAGTATCTAATATAAATGATTTAAGATGTGAACCAAATAGAAGTAATGACAAATAAAAATAATCAATATAAAAATTATAGTTGTTGCTGAGTAAGTAAACAAAAGATTTTAATTAGTCACAGCTTTTTTTATATAATGCATTTTAAATATTTTGAGTACAATAAATACTTATTATACTAAGTTAGTTTGAAATTAATATTTTAGAAAATATACAAATTATTCTAATTGAACTTAAAAAACAAAAGTAATATTACCTTTTTTTTAATAGATAATTAGTCTACAATTAATTAAATTAATTTTTGATCATTGCAAATATATTTTTTATGCGATTAGATCAATTCTATAATATAAATATAGCATAAAAATAATTAATTTTCAAAGTAATATGAAATTCATTATAACATTAATAACACAGTTTTATCATATTTTTAACAGAATGTAATCAGATTATTATTAACTATTATAGTTATTTAGTTAAAAGTTAATTAGATAAAAAAATATATGTACGAATATCTAATGATGATAAATACATACAACTAACGAAAAATAATATTAAAATCTATTCAAGACATAACTAAGAAATAACTAGTTCAATTTAAAATTAATGTAATAATTATAATTTGATAATTTTTAGTTTTCATATAATATTATAAAAAAATATTTATTTATTATTTAGATTAAATACAAAAAATATATATCAAACAATAAGATAAATACATTAAAAGACTCACTACAAAAATAAATTATTAATTTTAACAAATAATAACATTCTATACTTTTCTAAAAAAAATTAATATTTAATTTAACATTAACTATGATCTTGTTTAATGAATTCACCATATTGCTCTTCATTCATTAGATTTGATATTTCTTCTTCAGAAGAAAGTTCCAATTTGAAAAGCCATCCTGTAAAAAAATATGATTAGGAAAACACACTTCAACTATTAACAATTATTAGTGCTATACCATCTTTATAACAGGACTGATTTATTAATGCTGGTTTTGTTTCCACTAGAGAATTTATCTCGACAACTTTGCCTGAAACGGGACTGTATAATTCACTTGCTGCTTTCACGCTTTCTAAAGCACCACATTCATCTACAAATATATTTGAAAATAAAAGTAAAATTCAAGTAATTATAATTTAAAATGTATGATTCCATGATACATGTAAACTAAAAATTGTACAAAACAGAAAAATCCACTTTTATACTATCCTCATAATAGTTCATAATCATATTAGATCACATAATCAATTCCTGTTAATTAGTTATTATTTATAAATTAATTTACAAGTATTAATTAGTAATTTTATTTTATATTTTATTATTTTATTATTAATTATTTTGAACAACAATGAAATATATGTAAATGAGAATGAAGTAACTCTTTTTATCAATATTCAATTGAAAGTGAAATCATACCTTTTATTTTGACTTCTGTTCCAACAGCAGGCAGTTCAGCATATACTACATCACCTAAAGCATCCTATAATAATAAATCTATTTTTTAATAATGAATTAAAAATGAGAGTATTTTTTAAACAAAATATTTATAAAAATATAAAATATCTTTAAAAACTCTATAATTTTTGAAGCTGTTAATTTAATATATCAAAATAAATATAATGGATATTAAATTCATGAAAATTTTAAAATATGAATGTATTAATGTTTAAAATAGTTATCATTTACATGACTGAATAGAAATTTACGAACTTTTAGGTATATCAAATTGTATTTATTATTTATACATGTAACTCATTATTATAACTTACACATTTGTATTAAAATGGTTTATTTAATTATTACTTAATATATCATAAACATTGTTTGAATTATATTTTGTGATACAGTACACATTATTCTAAAAATCTTTTGTACTGTATGTATGTATATTGATCATAGGTAATAGGTATTTGTGCATCTGCAAGTTTTCATAGAAGTTTAGATTGTATTTGAAAAACAAACAAGAAAAAAATGTAATAACTATTAATTTAGTTATTGAGCATTTGCACTTTAATATTGTAGTTATAGTAGAAACAATTACAATAAATATTTTATATACATATAAATATGAACAGAAATATATAATACATAGATAGAAGTTTTAACAAGATTAATATAAAATCTCCTCTTATTGTTCTATTTAATATATATATGAGTCCATAGATCAAAGGATAACAATTAACCAATGATTTTGATTGATGAAGTAAATTAGTATAATTTGTAAAAAAAATATTTTATAACATGAAAAATAAATTGTTTAATTCTGGATAACCCTTTGTAAATTTTAGAATAACTTTTAATAATTCAATAAATTTTGTTATAAGGCTTTTTAAGAAATCTTAATTTTATATTCGTTTAAAAATATGTAAGGTATAATTTGAATAATTTTCTTAGGTTTGACATTAACATAAGTGCCTATTAAGGAAGGGGTAAGGCACAAAGAGAAATTGAGATATTTGGCACTCAGGAACAATAATATGTACCTATAATTTAACAAATCTAATTTTAATTAATACAAGGATCTATGTTAAATGTTTTGTTTTATCCCCTTCATAAAAACTTTGCCTATGAACCTTAGGTATATATTATAAGAGAACAGGTATAAACATATAATAACATTACTCTAAATAGATAAAGTTCTTCAACTGAAAAATGTTATCTTAAAAATATAAAAGAAAAGTTATCGAGTTCTTGATAACCTGTTATAAACTTAATTACCTTTAACCTTAAACATGAAATATTTTTTTGTTATACAACATAATGAATTATTATAAAATCTTAAATTTATACTTATTTAAAAAGGTGGAAGAATTATATTGAATACTTTCTCGATTTATGCATTAATATAGGTTTCTATTAGGGGAGTATAAAAAGCAGAGGAAAAATGGGATATTTAACTCCCTAAAAAAATAATAAGTACTTTTAGTTTAAGAAATAAAATTAAAATTTTTAAAAATATGAAAACATTAATAAAAATAGTTTTCTTCCTTCTTCTTAAAACCTAACATCTAGTGATCAGGTACATATAATAAAATAACAGATGTAAATTATTAATGACACTACAGATAAATAGACTTATTCAATTGAAAAATGTAGACCAGCTTGATTGTTTCCAAATTGATATAGATGTTTATTATTATAAGTAATAGTACCTAGTACATTTTAGTAAAATTAGTAGGAAACTACTAATTAATTTATAAATTAATATATATATATTAATATTTATATATTAATAAATAATTTTAATTATTTAATCAGTACCTTTAAAATTTTTAAAAAATCTTAGAAATATTTACTTGAGCATAATGTGAAATTCCAACAGTACCAATTTTATTGTTTACATCAATCCATTCATGTTTATCTGTATAATAACGATCTGAAATATTACTATTTAAATATTAATAAAATTAACAATTCACTGGAAAATATTAAGCAGATCATGCCTTTGATACTAGAAGTAGAAAAACGCATGGAGTTTGTAAGTAACATTTGTACATTATTCATATTCGTCCAAGTGCATCTAGTTATTTTGGTGATTCCAATAACTTTTGAAGAAAACATTTTTAATAGAAAGATTTTTAAAAATAGTTATGAAAAAGACAATTATTTCAGTTACAGTTATGAGATATATTATTTTAAACTTTAAAATGATTATCAAACATTAGAAATCCCTATCACTAAACAATGACACTAAAGATCATTTGTTCATTTTTTTTTCACGACTAAGAAATTTCACTATTTTTAAGGAATGATTTGATAAGATGTATTGGTAGTGATAACAGTTAATGATAATAGGATAGTTTTCTTAGCTTCCTTTTAGATTGTGTATTTATATTATTATTCAGATATACACAAAGTCATTTTTGCTGTCAGCAATGTGACGACTTTCTTTAAATCGGAAATAATAAATAAATTAACCTGGTTTAAAATAATGATTAATGTAATTTATACATTTAGTTAATTTTAAATAAAATATATTGAATTTCAAATATATTAAACATGAATTTGTTTTTAACTATCTTGTAGAATAATACACAAATTTGTAAGTTATAACTAAAAAAATTAAGTGCAAAGTAAACCAAAAATACTAATATGAAGATCTCAAATATATTATCCAAATTTTGTGTTTTATTTTTTATTGGTAAGCTTAAGTTATATTATTTTTAAAAAAAATGTTTAGGTTTGTTTAGTAAAAATGTATATTATTTATGAATTTTATTATTCTATTATTAACAATTATTCTTATTTTATTTCTTTTAAAAATAAAACTAGTATATTTATTAATTTATTTGAATATTAGTTTTTTTTTAAATCTGTCCTAGTGATGTTCATCTTTTTTACACATGAAATATTTTTTTGTTGACCAAAAATTTAACGATGATGACAAGATGAAAGAAATGTAAACACATGGTTGCATTTACAGACGGCATCTTTTTATAATGAAGGGATATAAAAACTAAACTGTCCCCTTATGATAAGTGCTTGAATAGTGGTAGCAACTATTTTAAAAAATAGCTTAATATTTTTACTTAATGTTTCAAAACATTTTATTTTTAAATAAATATACTATTTTTTTTTATTTTTCAATGGAACTTACTTCCTTAGCATACCCTGTGTATAAATACTTAAATTCACAACATATACAAAGGAATGTAATTTATATATTTTTTCTCAATTTTAATATAATGAGTAATTAAATATATTTTTACATTCTTTCTTAAATGTTCACCAATGAATAAACCTTATAATAATCATATTCTTACATGGTAAAGTAGCATTGTTTCATCAGAAAATGATATATGATGTAGAATAAAAGTCTAATAACAGTATTTTAGAACTTAAGCTAAAAAATTTTATAGATGATTTTTCTGTATAACTATAATACAATTTACAATATCCAGTTAAAATACTCTCTCTGTAATTGAAAAATAAAACTTTGCTTTTTATCGTTCGTTGTAGGTACATACATATACAGCAGTAGTTTAATAAGTAATTAATAAATTCAACTGAAAAATACAGATTTTGGAAATTGTTTGGCACTCCTATACTTATATTATAAACAATGTGTATTATTGGCCAAATTATCTGGAAGCTCATAATTATTAATCCTTATTGTTTTGTTATTCTAATCGTTAACTATAAATATTTATTATATTATTACAGACATTTTTGTGTCCAGTTTAATAAAAGATGTACATTCATCAAGAGTATTGGAACTTAGTGATGGGTAATTTGTCATTTATTTGAATATCACTTTAAAATGTATTACTATGTCATATATTTTATAGGTTTATAGAAATGAAAAATGATGGACATTGGTTCATAATGGTAAATATAATAATTTTATATCTATTATACAATTATTTTTGAAAACTGTTTATTATATATTCAATTTTAATTAAATACATTTATTAATGAATGTATTTTTTGTTTCAAAGTTTTATGCTCCATGGTGTGGTCATTGTAAAAAGCTAGAACCTATTTGGCGTCATGTTGCTCAAGCATTACACCATTCTGATATAAGAGTTGGAAAAATCGATTGTACTAGATATAAAAGAGTGGTTTCTGAGTTTGGATTATCAGGATATCCTACTATTATATTGTAAGTGGTTGATTAATATTTTTTACCATATAGATAATTATATTATAATTTCTTTATAGCTTTAGAGATAGAGAAGGTGAATTTCATTTCAATAGTGAACGAACTACTGAAGAGATGGTTCATTTTGCAAAACGATTGGCTCGTCCACCAGTTCAAGAAGTCACTGATAGTAAAGACATTGAAATGCTCAAGCAGTCAAAGAAAAACTTCTTTATGTATATTGGAAAAAGCATTGGTCATACTTGGGTATTAGATAATTTTGTGATTGAAATTAAAGTGCATTTCAATTTCTACAAATTGTTATTTATTATTTTAATAGGATCTTTTTTATGATTTGGCAAAACAATATCAAGCTCATTCTTATTTTTATATAACACCGGAAGTAATTGGAAAACAGGTATTAACCAATAAGTTTATATTTATTAATATTGTATTACTATTTAAAATTTTAGACTCTATTAATAAAATATAATTATATGCAAGTTATGTAGGCTATAATTATAACTTTCATACCTTTATAAGTAATTAGGCTAAACAAATCTATAAAGTAAGAGAAGTGGTCTGCTGTTCTCTGAAGAATTAGACCACAGTCAGTTCAATTATAGTATGTATTAGGTATAATTGTGAGAATTGTCAGAAATAAATTTATTAAATAAAGAAATACACTGATTCCACCTTACGGAAACCTTATGATTTTTGTTAGAGAAGTTGATGAATCATTAAGTGCATATTGAAAAAAGTAAAATATTTTTGATATAGAATTTAACAAGATGATTATTAAATGGTAAGATTTGTTATAGTTGATAAATCTTATGTATTATATTTAATTTATACTGTATGTAATAAGTATAATTTTATTTTCCTTGGCAATATTTAGTTACAAAATTAACAAGAAATTTTCAAATATGGTTTGCTTCATTTAAATATTAGAAAAATAATAAAGTACTATTACAAATGTAAAGTAATAAAAAAAAAAACAGTATTAAACATAAATTTGTACATTTTTTATAGTTAATAAGTTACAAAACGATATCTACAATTACCCGCTATAAATCATTAAGGACATTTGTTCTTAATAAGTTTTTATTCTCTAAGAATAAATTTGTAATAGCTTATTCTGTTAAACTAATATAGAAGAATAAATTGAATATCCAATTTATAATCCATCAAAATGTAAATTATTTGTGTCTACAGTAGAGTCTCGATAATCCGAATGAGATCAGGGAAAGGGGTCGTTCGGATTATCTATGGCTTAACAAAAACATCGATTTCATTTGAATTTAAATTATGAAATTTATTTTTATTTGCAATCTTAATCATGTAAAAACTCGGTAATTCACAAAGACAATGTATACAAAAACTTATTATTATAATTATATATGTGAGTGTGTAAGTACAGCCAGTTAATTTAATATTTATAGCGATTCTGTACTGCAAGAGCTCGTTAGGATTACCGCGTCTTTTGGATTAGCCTATGTTCGGATTATCAAGACCCTACTGTATTTTATAACTATGAGTAGTACTCTGTCTATTAAAATAGTTATTATTTTTATGTATATTTATAGCACTTTATATTTGGAGAATCTCCTGCAGTAGTTGTTTATAAAGAAGAAAAACATTACTCTTTTAATGGTAAATATTAAATAAAATCATATTATAATAATTTTTTAAAGAAGAATGAAATATTGGAAGAATATTTATGATTGTTTTGTTGATATTCTTTAGCCGATGAATGGGATATGGATTACAATACAAGTTTAACCCAATGGATAAACACAGAAAGATTCGATACTTTTGTAAAAGTGACTCGTTCAAATATTCACCATATGTTAGAAACTAATAAGTATTTAGTTTTAGCATTAGTAGAAGAGAATAAAATTGAAAAACTGCCACCACATCATTCTGAGTAAGTTTAAACAAAATGTTATATTATTTTGAATTTTGTGCGTATAATACACAAAATTATTTAATACAATGTTTTGTTTTTTCTTAGATTTCTTCAAATGGTAGAATCAGTTATCATTAAAAACAGAGAACGTTTTCATAGGTATTTCATAAATATAATATGAAATATAGAATTAAATAATTACATTACACATTTTAATTAAAATAAGATAAATAAAATTAATAAAAAATGTATTAATTTTTAGAGACTTTCAATTTGGTTGGATTGGTTCACCAGACTTTGCCAATGCTATCACTTTATCTGATGTTACTTTACCATCATTAATTATATATAATTCGACTACTAGACATCATCATTTTCCTGAAGAAAACTCTCATGAACTTACTCCTGAATCAATTACTTTATTTCTAGAAGCTGTAAGAAATCAATCAGTCAAGGTAATTTAAATTAATTTAATAATATTGTTTTAAAAATAATATATTTATTTAATATAATACTAATTAATTAATTATACATAATTCTTTGATATTTAAGACATAATACTAATTTACAAAAAACAATAATGTGCTTAAAATTATCTATTACACTAAAATTTTTTTAATCAGGCATATGGAGGAAGTGGTATTTTAACACAAATGTACAGGGTATATTATGAAACCAAGACATCATTATTAAATATTTGGTCGAGTAACCCTGCTGTTGCTAGTGTCTTATTTGGATTACCATTGGGTTTCCTAATGTTAATTTGCTACTCGACGTGTTGTACAGATATTATGGATGCTAGTGATGATGATGAAGATATTGAGGGTAAATTAAAAATAATAAATTAAGAATCGTATAAAACTGTGTCAATACTTTTTAATTTTGATTTTTTTATTGAACTCATCATTTGAAAAAAAAAATTTTACAGATATTCATTGATTTCATAAAATTGCCATTCTTTTTAAAAATAATATATTTACTGAAAATATTATTAGTACCTTGTAGAAAAAATAAATTTTACATGGATTGTTATAAAGTAATGAATGAAAAAATACATAACATTTAAATCACGTTTTTAATATTTTTAAAATTCATTGATTAATTCATGAAACCCCTTAATTTCCTTAAAAAATTAACGCTGAATTCTAAATATGAGTTTAAAATTTTATAATTTATAATCTTTTATTATAAATATGAACATTATAATATGGAAAATAATTAATTATAATTTCTTATCATTATTTTGTGATTATAATTTAAATTAAATTAATTTCATTTTTTAGATTTGCACCATGAGAAGAAAGAATAAGCTATGCAGCCTTCAAAAGTTAAAAAATTTTAATTGAAAAAATTCCAGAAGTTAAATTATTATTTGTAATGTAAATATGTATTTATTTCTATTTACATATATGAAATAATTTAAACTTTTTTTAATATGAATTAAAAATAGTACTTAAAAGTACCACACATATAATTTTATATAAAATTAATATATTTATTTATATATTTTAGTCTAAATCTAATATATATATAATGTAATGCTATCATTTATATAAGTGATGAATATCATACTTGATGGACAGTAGACACCATATTTATACCAAAATATTAATTATAAAATATAATCAGCTACAAAAATTAATTTAATTCATATATATTGTTTAATGTGCATCCATTATAATTGATAATTTTAACAATTAAATATATGAACATAAATGAAATAGGTTTCATTGGTTTCAAATGTTGGCTTTGTGTGTTTGTTCTTGAATATTTAATCATTATGTACATGTGAATGTTTTTAAAAACTTAGAGTAGTCACACTCTAAAATTTAAATACATTTTATTAAAATGAAGCATGATTAATTTATATTTAATATATTTAGATAATACAGTAAATATTCTAGTGTAATAAATTGATAATATTCACATGGATTGTAATTGTTTTGTATGTAAAAAAACTCTAAATTACTACACTCTACATAACAATAGTATTGATTATTTTCTAAATGTATTAAGTGATGACATTAAATAAAATTAATTTATTGATTAACATAAAATTTCTACAATAAGATTTTATTTTATTAAAATAATATTTACAATCTATGCTTCAAGGCAAGTATGTAAACATATTAAATAGTATCAATTATTAATAACTTCATTGAAAATAAATCAGTATTTAATCCCAAAGATATAATTCATATCTAAGTATGAAACAAAACCTTTAATTTTTACTACAGTAATATTTAAAAAAATTTATATTATTAACAGCGATATATTATAATTTTTTTATAATAAAAAAAAGTATGTGCATTTTATCTAGTCAATATATATACTTATTTTTTCTTTTTTTTTTATGTAAATCACTTTTTTGTGTTACAAACTTATTTATTGTAATATACTATTATAGTATTATTGTCTTTCTATTATATACAATGAATAAAAATGTATTATAATAAAAAATATTTAAGAGATAAATCAAATTTTATTAATTTTTTTTTCTATTCCCTGTATATGATGTATGTATGAAGCCTACAGTTGTATATAACATATTTAGTTCTACAACATTTAAAATATATAGTATTATATTTACAAATATTAAAATAAATGTTATTAAATATCTTTGAAATGTGTAATATTTTTAAAATAATAAATAATTCTCATTAATTTATGATTATAACATTAATTAAATATACATTTTAAAATTTGAATTAACCATACAGTCCAAGTAATCAGAAAATATATCTTTGATTCTCTGTTTAACGTATAAAAAAAGGTTTTTAACTTATGGTTATTCAAATTTTTTTTAAAAATTAACAAATATTTTAGTTTCAGGTAATATACAATATGAAAAATTCAAACATTAAGGATTCCTTTCAATCATAACATTTCATTCTTATTTTTTCCAAATTTTCCAAAGTATTTATTTATAATTAAAATTCATCTTTAAATTTTTATTTTCTTCAAAACAAATTTAATTAAGTATATGTAAATAAACGGTGGGGTTTTTTTTTATATTAAGCTATTAAAAAAAATTGGGCTAAGCTGATAGTTATTTTTTCATATTTAAAAACCAATCATTGTTATATTTAACCTAGGTTACAAATATTTCAAACTTATCGTTCTAAATATATATTACTTAATTCAACAACAATTTACATAATATCAAGGTTTAAGATAAACCAAAATCAAATTATGTATTTTAAGCACACATAAATAAAGTATCTAAGCATAAACTTACTATCGAACCCACTAATTGATAACCATTTACAAGTATTATTAAATGCGCATTCCCTTAAAAATAACATTCGCTTAATTATTTCATTCAACATAATATATCATTGTAGTTAAGTCACATATTATCATTAATAATTGTACTAGCTATTTTTGTAGCAATGGCTCTAATACTGGGTTTCTTTGTTCAGCAATTTTTTGTAGTAATCTGTCCAATTCCTTCTTGTGATAGTAGAACACTAACTCTTTTGGTTTGACACCTTTGAACACTTCGACCACGCTGGGCTTAAGGTTATAAAAGAACAACGCCTGTCCCCTGTCGGAGAAATCTTTGGTGAGCATTTCTATGACTTTGGCGGCGGTGAAGTCTGCTCCATAAACGTGGGAACAATCGATGACCACTGGCATATTCCGTTTGAGACTGTGTTTCGTGACCAGGTTGCGAACGTAGTCCGCGGACGGGAACACCAGGCACCGGTCGGGAGTCAACATTAAACACTTGAAACCGGCCCGGGTCTTATACTCCCTAATGGATATCTTCGGTCTAGCCGCATGGTACAGGATGGACGTGAGATTGAGCCCGATCCCGAAGAGGACGCCGATCTCCAGGGGCAAGAACAAGCATGCGAAGAAAGTGAATAGGCCAGGAATCAGGTCGCTCTTCTTCGACCTGTAAATCGGTTTGACCACCCGCACCTCGACCATGAACACGACGGCCGTCACAATGACCGCGGCCAAACATGTTTTGGGTATGTAGTAAAAGTGCGGCGTCAAGAACAGCAGCGCCACGATGACCAGGACGGCGGTGTACAGGCCGCTCAACGGGGTGCGCACGCCGCTGGCGTTGTTCACGGCGCTCCTACTAAACGAACCGGACCCCGGGAACCCGTGCACGAACGAGTTGCCGATATTGCACAGCCCGATGGCCAGTAGCTCTTGGGTTGCATCCACGGTCTTGCCGCGCGCGAACGCCTTGCAGATGGATATGTTCTCGAGCAGCCCGATGAGCGGCAACACGACGATATTGGACTTCATGGCGGACACCATGTCCAGGAAGCCCACGGTCTGGTTGCCGTGCTGCATCGAGAACTGAGGCGCGCGGAACTCGGGCAGGCCCGCCGGCACGTGGCCGATGATCTTGTACGGTAGCGTATCGTCGGCGGACCGATCGCCGCGGCGCGACTCGATGAACACGTAGCTGAGCACGGTGCAGCTGATGACGATTATCGAGTTCCTGATCGACCCGATCAACCACAGGCTCTTGTTCGTGTACCTCTCGGCCGGCGTCTGTTGGCTGGGATCCGGGGGGCCGATGCGCACCTCCGCGATCACCCGCAAACCCAACAGGAATACGATGCACCCCGCCCCGATGATTGTGTCCCCGGGGCTGATGTTGCCCGCGTCCCGGTACAGCGAGCACGCCATCTCCCATATGCTGGACCCGGTGCCGTGCACGCCGATCAAGTCCTTGATCTGGGACGCGATGATCAGCAGCGCGACCGCGGACGTGAACCCGGACGACACGGGGCCGGACACAAAGTCGATGATGATGCCGAGGCCGCACACTCCCATGGCCAGCTGTATGACGCCCGTGAGGAAGCACAGCAGCGTGGCGTACGCCGGCTCGTAGCCGTGCACCGTGCTATACGTCATCAACGACACGATGGCCGTCGGTCCCATGGGTACGTCTTTGCAGCTGCCCACGAACGTGTAGATGAACGTGCCCAGGAACGAGCCGTACAGGCCGTATTGGGGCGGTAGACCTGCCAGCCCGGCGTACGCCATCGACTGCGGTATCACTGTCAGGCCTACCGTCACGCCGGCCATCACGTCACCCAGCCCGTCTTCGACCGTGTAACACGACAGCCACGTCAATATCGGCAGCCTCCGTTTCACGTTCTTCATGGCCACCATGCCGCGCAGTTTCCGTTTCAGCCACGGGCACATGCCCTGCATCGTTTCGATGGTGCTCACTTTCCGTTCGGAAATAATCTCTTCCACCAGTATGAAATCGTCACTGCCCAACGAACATTTGTACGCGTCATCGCGACTGTTCATCGAGGAGTTCGTATCCTTGTCCGTAACGGTCATGGCTCACACAACGTTTACGATATCGCAATACCACAACACCTAAATTCCGTTCTAATCAGTCGCGCAAAATTGGATCTGAAAAAAACCAAACATTTTAATGTTTATTAAACACGTATTTTGCTTTCAGACGTATGAAACATGGCTATAGATTATCTTACAGTTGAACAAAACGAAAATTATAGGTACCAAGTGCAATGTACAAAAACAAGAAATGTTTGTTTTAAATTCTCGTTACACGTAAATATTAATTCGTGGTAATAATATTGTTATAAATCTTCCGTCTAATTTTAAATTTCAAATGGAACGGTAATTTAACGTGATAAATATTTTTTTCTTTAATGTGTTCATAAAATTAAATTTGAAATGAATTGTATCAATATAAAATTGGTAAGCAGTACACAATTATAATTTTTCAAATACATGATAATACATATATTTATCGGAGTGGTTCAGTGCTTAAGTTATTATTAAAAAACATTTATCAATAACTATACGTTTATTTACAGTTTAAAACCTACAGACTTATGATGTTTCTTTATTCTAAAAATCATGATTCATTTTATATTTCTAATCATTGAAATTTTCAATACCTATCTATATTTATATTACACTAATTTTGGCTCAGAATCATATTTTGCATAATATGATGATTTATCATTGCTTTTATAATTCTACAAATACACACGACTAACATAACATAGAACACGTGCCTTACCAAATTTTGAAATATCTATATAGTATCATGTAATTGGTATCAATTTAGAACTATTATACTACTTATATATTAGAATCTCATCACAGTTAAAAAAAAAAAAAAATTAAAATGTAAGAATACAAAAAATCATTATATTGGATTTGATCAATTACAAACTAAGTAGATATTAAGGTACCTAACAAATAAGTAACAACAGTTAAATAGGATTAATTCAATTTTAATTATATACCCATTAAAAAAATATTTAATTTATTAATATTCTATGTTTATTCATGACATAGGCGTGTCTACGGGGAAGGCAGAGTGGGCACCGACGTCCCCAACGACGTTCTTGGCCTCTTGGCTTATAATGATGAAACC